AAGCCACAAACCCAAACTGGTTACTGGTTTTTGTTCTATTTTGTCCTTACATGCTTGCCAGTTGTTGTTTGTTTGTTTGTTTGTTTGTTTGTTTTGAGGAAAAAGGACAAGAATCCATCAAGTAAGTTTTGCAAAACAAGGCATTGTTGTTTTGCTTTCAAGGGAGACTCTATCCTGCTCGGCAGCGCATCCTAAAACCGATCCAGGTTTAGCATTAGAATTTGTAAATGCAGTTGTTCAGGTTATTGGAGGCTGACAGGCGGTGCAGATAAGCAAGCAAAAATACAGAGATGGCAAACAAGCTGTGAGATAGCAAGTTTCACTCTAAAATCCTTCCTTTAACAAGTGCGGGGTTTTTATAACTATTTGCCAAGGGTCAGTGCAAATTAATATGGAGTCACGCTGGCTCTGTGTATGGCTTGGCTGAAATCATTCTTGGAAGACTGCTCTTAATGTTAACGAAAAACAAGGGTCAGAAAATGCACAACAGAGATAAGCATCAAAGCCACCAAACCATTAGGCACTCCTTTCCAGAAACCACAAAAATAGTTGCTCTGAGTCTTCTCCCAGCCAGCTCAAGAAAGCACATACTGTTTTCTGTTTACAGAATGCAGAATAATAGAGCTGGAAGGGACCTTGGAGGTCTTCTAGTCCAACCCCCTCTGTTCAAGTAGGAGACCCTATGTCAGTGGTGGCGAAGCTATGGCACGCGTGCTAGAGGCGGCACTCAGAGCCCTCTCTGTGGGCACACGCGCCATGGCCCGGAGATGGCAACCTTCCCTCTTCAACCAGCCGCCTGCTAACTCGCTGAGGTCCCACATGGCCGGATGCATCCCAGCACCCATGCGCTCGCTGGCCTCTGTGTGCAGGGGCCGATGGTGTCAGGCAGCAGCCTCCCCAGCCCGTCTCACCTTGCCCTGTGACAATGGCACCCCCACCTTGCCTCACCCCACAGGACGAGCCTCCTGCCCACCACCCCACCTGCCAGAGACCCTCTGGATCTCCACCAACCCTGCCCGGCCCCCACAGCGTCCCTCCCCATGAGCAACATCGAGGTGATCACACCCATCTTGGCCACACCCACCCAATCTGCCATGACCACCCCAGCCACACCCACCCAGTGGGCCACGCCCACCTGGCACCCGGCGATAAATAAGTGGGTTTTGGGTTGCAGTTTGGGCACTCAGTCTCTAAATGTTTCGCCATCACTGCCCTATGCCATTTCAGACAAATGGTTGTCCAGTCCCTTCCTAAAAGTCTCCAGTGTTGGAGCACCCACAACTTCTGAAGGCAAGCTGTTCCACTGGTTGATTGTTCTTATTGTCAGAAATTTTCTCCTTAGTTCTAGGTTTACGTCTGTGGAGGTTCTCCGTCATCCAGGTCATGGTTGTCCCAAAGATGCTTTTTTTCAGGAGGCGACTGGACTTTCTTGTGTTTCTTTTGGGAGATGTTTTGCTTCTCATCCAAGAAGCTTCTTCAGCTCTGACTAGATGGTGCGGATTGGAAGTTAGTTCTAGATTGTTTCTCTCTTTGTTCAGTTTCCACCCATTGCTTTTTGTCTTCCCGCTTGGTTTAGTTCGCTTTGACAGTGACAAGAACAACTAAGGACAAAATTCTTATCAGCCTGTCCAATGGATTTTGGCTTGCCAAGTCCAGTCAGATACAGCTGAAGTCCTGCAGATGTTTAGGGAAGAAGAACCACAGGAGGGAGGAACTTAAAACATGTTCACCTGTTCCACTTTGGCTTTGTATTTTGGATGAGGGTTAGCAGGCAAAAGTCTTAATAGCAAAACCACCTCTGTGCGTAGAAGAAC